GGAGTGGGGGGCGGGGTCGCCCGCCCGCGACCCGGTGTGACTGACGCCCGCGTCCCGCAGGGGTGAACCTTCGGCGCAAACAGGCGGCCAACTTCACGGCGGCGGGACAGCCCCGGCGCGAGGAGGCGGTGAGCGCCCTGTGCTGGGGCGCGGGCGGGGAGACCCAGGTGAGCGTCCGGGGCCTGGCCGGGGCCGGGGGGCCGGCAGCCTCGCGGTCCTCGCCATCCCGCCCTCCATCCCTCCTGCCCTCCTCTGCCCGCAGATCCTGATGGGCTGTGCCGACCGGACAGTGAGGCACTTCAGCATCGAGGAGGGCAGATTCCGGGGCCAGAGGCACTGCCCCGGCGGGGAGGGCACGTTCCGAGGCCTCGCCCAGGCGGACGGGTAAGCCCGAGCCCCTCGCCGAACGGGTAGGGAGAGCGCAGAGGCTCCCGTGAGACGGCCGAGGAATGGCCATCAACCCTTAGAGGGCTCGGACCTGGCCTCGGAGACAGGGGCGTGTGTCTTGCCTTCTTGTGTTCATGCCTGTAACGAGCGTTTATTGAACCCCTGCCGAGTGCCAGGCATTGCAGAATGCGAGGGCTGCAGGTAACCCAGACACGCACAGTACCTACTGTTGCACCGTTTGCACCCCGAGGGATTTTCTCCTGATTCCATAACCTTTGGGTGACCCTGAGCAAGTCAGTTCATAGTGAGGATGCCTTTAGATGGGGACTGACAGCCACTCACAGTGTGAGGAGGCTCCCAAAGGAAAGTTAGGAGGACAGTGCTGGCGGCTAGTGGCTGCCTCGCTTTCTTCCTAAGTGAAGAGGAGGTTGCGGGCAGGCTGTGTGGGTTTGGTGGCTCTAATTCTGGCAGGTGAGGTCTAGGAGGCTGGGGGAGTGAGAAGCTTAAGGCAGGCCTTGAAGGATTGGTAAAATGTTGACAGTGGAGAGAGGGGTTAAGGGCATTTTAGAAAGACGCTACTGCCTGGGCAGAGGCCAAGGATCGGTGTCGGGCCACAGGGTACCTTGCAGGGAAGATAAATTGCATTTGGGGGGGTGGACGCCGAGGAAGCATTTTAACACGAGATGGGCAAGGTAGGGTGGGATTCATTGTAGAGGGCTGCACGTGCCATTTTTGTCTTGGAGGTGGTGGGGAGTTACTGGTTTTTGAGCAGCAGTGCTGTGGCCCAAGCTGTGAGCCTGTAGGGGTGTGGAGGATGAACTGGGGAGAGAGCAGTTGGGAGACTATTTCACAGCCCAGGCAGGCGATGTAGACCCTGAACCAGGGTGGAGAGGGTGGAGAGGGTGGGCAGTGTGAGAAAGCGCATAGGCTGGGGCTGGCAGCTTCTAGGGAGAGACTCGCTGGGGCTCCCTGGGAGGAGTACACTGTGGGGGGTGCTGACAATGAGCACGTGGAGCCCGGACAGGGAACTGAAGCTGGTGCTTGACTTTGGCCAAACCCTAACTCCCGACCGGTGCCATTTCAGTCCCTTCAGAGTTACTGATCCTGGCCCCTGGTGACCGGAGAAAGGTTCAGAAAGACCGGCAGGGCCAGGTGCCCCTAGATGTAGCTGTGGGTTACAAAGGCACTTTGCTTTGGAGTATCACAGACTTGATTTCTGGTTCTGACATTTGCTGAGTGGGCAAACCTTTTAATGGCTCAGAGCCTCCATTTCTTCGCTTATAAAACCTCACTCTGTTAAGGAAATGAAATAATATACGCACGTTACCCGGAGGCTTTCTGAGGAGGAGGGCTGGTTGGGGTCTAGTTAATGTGGGGGTGGGTTGACTGGGCTTAGAGAATATTTTCACACTTTTTTTTTTTTAACCCTGACTCTATCCTTCCTCTCCCTGCAGCACCCTCATCACGTGTGTGGATTCTGGGGTTCTCCGAGTCTGGGGTGACGACAAGGAGACCTCCTCTGACCCAGTGAGGCTCCCCTGCCCTGATCCTCGTGGTTGGGGAAGGTGGGAGCCAGGGCAGGAGTTGAATGAGGGCTTCGGGGAGGAGGATTAGGGATCCAGGAATTGACTCTCATTTCCCCTCTCATCTCTCATTCTTTTCAGGTCCTGGAACTGAGGGTGGGCCCTGGGGTGTGTAGGATGCGCCAAGACCCAGTGCACCCCCACGTAGTTGCCACAGGTGGGAAGGAGAATGCTTTGAAGGTGTGGGACCTGCAGGGGTCTGAGGAGCCTGTGTTCAGAGCCAAGAACGTGAGTGACCTCAGACCCAGGGAGGCTGGGGCCGCTGACCATGCGTCAGAAACCAGATGGGCTTTCGGGGATGATGACGGAGGGCAACAGGAAGGGGCACACTAGCTCGCCACAGCCCTGTCCCCCATCGACCCGCTCCCCCAGGTACGGAATGACTGGCTTGACCTGCGAGTTCCCATCTGGGACCAGGACATACAGTTCCTCCCTGAGTCGCGGAAGCTCGTCACCTGTACAGGGTACCACCAGGTGAGGGACCACCCACCCTGACCTCCTGCTGGGCTTAAGCAGCCTCCTAAAGAAACAGCCCCCGGCTGAGGCTCTGCCCGTCCTTTGTCATGGCCATCCTTCCACCAGCCTCCCAAACCTGAGCTCTCAGAGGAGGGAGCACGCCTTTGTCCACTCAGCCCCGTAGCCTTCTCTTACTGTGTTCTGGGGTGGCGTTTCCTGAACTAGGACTCTTCATGTTCTTCCGCCTGGAAGAGAGGAGGGGAGCGGGGGAGGGAGCATTTCCTTCACAGTAGATTTACAGGGCGCAGGTGTCACGAGAGGACATTGGGGTGCTTGTCGAGAGAACTGGGTCTCTGGTCCTGATGCAGCCTCTGGTTTGCTGCGGGACCCAGGCTTGCCTCTCCTCTGGCCGCAGCTCCTCAGCCCCATAGGAGGGCCCGGCTGGGTATCGTTACAGCCCTGACCCAGGCAGGACTGGGTCCCTGGATTTGCTGTTGCCTTTGCTCTGCGTATTGAAGTCTGATCTTGGTGATCTGCTTCTGCTGCACACACACTGAGGACTTCCTCTGTCCTCCCTTGTTCAGGCTAAACCTCTTGGCTTGAAATTCAGCATCCGCTGACAATTGGACTGACTTGCTTTCCCATTCCACCAAGATGGGAGTATGCGGGGGTGGGATGGTCACACATGAAGACCAGGGAATGCTGCCACTTCCCCACCTGGGGGCTCACTCCCCTCTGCCCTGTTCATTTATGCTGCTAAGCTGTTCTCCCCCAACCCCAACCCCCCACAACACTCAGATGAGAAAGTTTCTCTAAGAGTGGATCATAAACAGGAAAGCAGTATATGAAGGAGGGTGTGAAGTGGGTGAAGATGTGGGGGTATAGGGTGAGGGTACCCTTGTGATAGTTAAGTCTTCTTCCAGGTCCGTGTCTATGATCCAGCCTCCCCCCAACGCCGGCCAGTCCTCGAGGCCACCTATGGCGAGTACCCGCTGACCGCTATGACTCTCACTCCCGGGGGCAAGTGAGTGTTTAGAGGGCAGGAGTGGGGTCAGGGCTTCAGGAGGCTCCTGCTGACCCCACCTGCCTCTGCTCTCCTCTCAGCTCGGTGATTGTAGGAAACACTCATGGGCAGCTGGCAGAAATTGACCTTCGGCAAGGTAGCGGACTGGGGAGCCTTGCAGGAGGGTGGGGCAGGATTCCCTCTGGGGCAGTTGAACCCTCATTTAGGCATCAGTTTGTCTGGGTTCAAATCCTGGTTTCAAAAGCTGTATGACCTTGGACATGTTACTTCAACTCCCTGTGCATAGTTGACCTGTAAAATGGATATAATGGTAACTCCTATCTCAGCGTTATGTTAAGAATTAAGTCTCAAAATAAAAAGTGTTTTCAACAATAAATACTAACGCCTCCCCCTTTCTCCAGGGCGCCTACTGGGCTGCCTGAAGGGGCTGGCAGGCAGTGTCAGAGGGCTGCAGTGCCACCCTTCCAAGCCTCTCCTAGCCTCCTGTGGCTTGGACAGAATCCTGAGGGTACACAGGATCCGGAATCCACGGGGCCTGGAGCATAAGGTGAGAGCCTGCTATCTCCTGTGCCCCCCACTCATACTCTGTACAGTTCACTGTGCTTGACTCCTTAAGGTCCCTGGTCTCTTGCAGGTCTATCTGAAGTCTCAGCTGAACTGCCTTCTTCTGTCAGGCAGGGACAACTGGGAGGTAAGCAGTTGGGTCTGGGAAAGTGGAACCAAGAGCATAGATGTGAGATTTCTTCCCGTGGGAGCAAAAGGAAGCAGCTGGAACAGAGACTGGCCCTGCCCATCTCCCTGCCGCATTACTGCATTTTTGTGAGGAGTGTGAATAGTTGTAGTCCTGCCCTACCGGTTTGGCTCAGTGGATGGAGCGTCGGCCTGCGGACTGAAGGGTCCCAGGTTTGATTCCGGTCAAGGGCATGTACCCTGGTTGTGGTCACATCCCCAGTGGGGGATGTGCAGGAGGCGGCTGATTGATGTTTCTCTCTCATCGGTGTTTCTAACTCTCTATCCCTCTCCCTTCCTCTCTGTAAAAAGTCAATAAAATATATATTTTTAAAAAAATAGTTATAGTCCTGACAGGGTTCCTGCCAAGAGTGACACAGGGACATGGATGGGACCTGTCCCCAGAGCAGGAAATGCAAGTGGTGGTACCTGGCCAGATGACTCCCCGTTAAGCCCCCTCCCCTGTGGGTCTGCCTGTGCCCCCGACTCCTCAGCTTTTCTCCACTCACTAGGATGAGCCGCCAGAGCCTCCAGAGCCGGCTAAGTTGTCCTCGGAAGACACAGAGGCAGATGAACTTTGGGCCTCCCTGGAGGCAGCTGCCAAGCGCCAGCGCCCTGATTTGGAGCAGACATCAGGGGTCGTCCCAACCGGGCGGAGAAAGAAGAAGCGGCCTGGCTCTGCCAGCCCCTGAGGGGCCTGAGCTCACTTTGTAAATAAACAGCTGACACCCATCGTGACCCCGAGCCTTTTGTGATGGGAGAAATTAAAGGGGCGCCTGCTCTCTGAGCTGGGGCGGCGGGATATCTGACGTCACAAAAGCAGTGGGAGCCAGTGGGCTGGAGTGGTAGCACCGAGTGCCGGGCGAGCCGGGCCCTAGCGGGCCATGGGCTGCTGCCAAGACAAGGCCTTGAAAACCTCCAATGGGAAGTCCAAGGCGTCCAGAAAGGAGGCAGTCGAGGAAGGTGGGAACAGAAACACAGCTGGGGTGCTCAGGGAACGGGAGAGGGGTCAGGGTCGAGAGGGGGGAGGTGGGAGTGGAGTTCAGCGGCCGCCTCATCCTTGCAGACGCCGAGGAGGTCGATGTGAACTCGTCGGACCACCGGAAGCCCAAGTCCAACGAAAGCCTTTTGATCACCGTGCTGTGGCGGCGGCTGTCCTTGTTCAGCCGTCGGGACTCGCGGACAACCAAGAGGCAGTCAATCAAGCATGGGTGTACGTTCCAGGAGAACAACCCGGAGGAAATCCGGGAGGAGCCGGAGAAGGGATGACCCCAGCCCGGCTCTCGGTCCTCCCCAGCTTCCAGAGAATAAAGTTTCTAACGTGTACTAGCCGGAGCGCTTGTGCCTCTGCTGCCCTCTGCCCGCACCACCCGGGCTGCGGTCTCTTTAAGGCTCCTCCCCAGAGGCTGGCTCCGCCCAATGGGCCGCCGCTCTAGTTCCTGGGGGCGGGGTCACGACAGCGGTCTAGCCAATGGGAGAGCGGAGTCGTTCTTGTATTTGGGTGGGGGGCGTGTCCCCGGGGTGCCGGGCTGGAATAGGCGTGGTACCGCCCTCTAGTCAGCGGGGGTGGGGTTACGTGTGGGTGACGTGGCGGCTCCTAGTCTTTGGTCGAGTTTCGGAGGCTTCCGCGCCCGGGGAGTAGGCGGTGACGGCCCAGGAGATTGTGGCGGCGGCGGCGGCAGGCGGCGGAGAGGAGGTAGGACTTGCTCTAAGAGTGGTCTGGCCGCCGTGGCAGCTCGGGGCCGCGGCTTTCCGGGGGCGATGACGGGTGGGGGGTGGGGGAGAAGGAAACCAGGGGCGAGCGGACAAGTCTTGCCGGCCGGGCTCGGGGTGAGCGAACACCTCGGTGTCCAATCAGGAAAGCCTCTGTTAAGAAAGACGTCGGCATGAGCTAATCATTAGTTGCAGTCCCCTAGGAGGCGGAGCTTGAGCGGGGGGTGGGACTTCCTGTTTCAAATAAACACCCGGAGATTTCTCCCCCTCCGCCCACCGAAGTGTGTCCCCCCCTCCGAAGGTCCGTTACCCTTTCTCCCCGAGGCGGGGAAGGAACCCGTGGATCCAGGAGGGCCCAGCTAGGGCCTGGGGGCAGTTGCACAGGCCGAGCTGGAGCTTTGGGGCCGCGGGTCCTGCCTTGGGCCCTGTCTCTGCTTCGGGGCCCCCGGCCCGCGCTCGGGCTGCCCGAGCCAAGTTGGAAGAAGAGTGAGGAGGGAGCGGCTTAGGCTGGAGAGGAAGTGGGGCCCAGCCTGTTGCCCGCCGGCCCCAGGATCTGCGGTTGGCTTCGGGGCGCAAGAATTTGCTGGTTGGGGCAGTTTCTGGGGGAGAGGCCTGGGAATGACACTCTCTCCTCCACAACAGTCCGAGGTTATGCGTCTCAATGATCCCGCGGAAACGCTACGGGACTAAGAACACGGATCAGGGTGTCTACCTGGGTCTCTCAAAGACACAGGTCCTGTCCCCTGCAACTGCTGGCAGTAGCAGCAGCGACATCGCCCCTCCGCCCCCCCCAGTGGCCCTGGTCCCTCCCCCTCCCGACACCATGTCCTGCCGGGATCGGACCCAGGAGTTCCTGTCTGCCTGCAAATTCCTGCAGAGCCGTCAGGTAAGGGCCGGGCGTGGGAACGAAAGGCAGGGGTGCGCTCTGCTCGGAGCTGGGGAGCGCATTCTTGCGGGAGCCTGATGGGGAACTGGCCGGGCTTGGAGTGGGCATGGGGTCTGTGAAGAGGTGGGCTCGCTACCTGCAGGCAGACACACAGACCTTCTCATGCGAGGAACCTGGAGGGTAGGGTTGCTGGTCCTGAAGGAATACCTCGGGGTGAGAGGTGGCTCCGATATATTGGGTTTGGATAAGGACCAGGTTCGAGAAAGAGCCCCTAGCCCAGAGACAACCACTTGGAATTCCAGCTCTGGTATAGCGCTGCCACAAGTTCGCTCTGTTTCTGTATCTGTAAACTGAAGGGACTTGTCTAGATAAGTAACTTTTACCAAAATCAGTTTGGAGTGCGTTTTATTTTATTTTATTTTATTTTATTTTTTTAATATTTTATTGAGTTTTTACAGAGAGGAAAGGAGAGAGATAGAGAGTTAGAAACATCGATGAGAGAGAAACATCGACCAGCTGCCTCCTGCACACTCCCCACTGGGGATGTGCCCGCAACCAAGGTACATGCCCTTGACCGGAATCGAACCTGGGACCCTTCAGTCCGCAAGCCCACGCTCTATCCACTGAGCCAAACCGGTCTCGGCTGGAGTGCGTTTTAAGAAATTGCATTCCCTTGCCTTGATCCAGACTTGGTGAATGTAGGTGGGGCCCGAGTGACTGCAGTTTCACATACTTGTACTGCTCAGCCCTTGTTAACACCTGCTCTTCTGTACTCTACTCTCCAAGAGCTCTCCCGTTATCCTCTTTGGTCCCCAGATCGGAAGAACAGAATGGTAATCGGAGCTGGGTATTTAGTCTTTACAGTGCACCACCCCCTGTCCTTTCATCTTAGCAACACCCATAAGGAGGTGTGGGGGTTGTCTTCGTTTTGTAGAAGACTCAGAAGGGTGTAAGTAACTTGGCCCAAACTCCCCAGCTACTAAGTGATGGAATCAAGATTTGAACCCTGGTCTCTCTGTCTTCAAATCTGGGCTCTCACCTGCTACTCCCGCTACTCCCGGTAGACCCGCTGGTAGAGAATACGGTCAGTCCTAGAGAGAGTTTAGCGGACAGCTGAGAACAGTGAAAGCTGGTGATGGGGAAGGGGATTCAAGTTTCACCTCTTGACATTGCTTTTCAGAATGGGATACAGGCAAACAAGCCAGCTCTCCGTGCTGTCCGGCAGCGCAGTGAATTCTCCCTCATGGCCAAGTGAGTTGAGAGGAGTGGAGTGGGCTGAGGCGGTGTCAGAGGAGGAGGCTGCCTTTGCTGGCGGGCTGTGAGGGCTGGAATGGGTTGTGCTGGAGCTGATGGGGGAGGCGGCCCTCTCCTGCTCTCTCCCACGGTGCTCTCACTAACGCTTGCTTGCAGGCGCATTGGGAAAGACCTCAGCAACACCTTTGCCAAGCTGGAGAAGCTGACAATCTGTGAGTGTTCTTGGGGTGTTTCAGGAACGGGCAGTGGACCAAGGAGGGTGGAGGAACCGTACTCCCTGAGCCTTCTCTTTGAGGTCACCCGTCGTGGCTTCTTTATCTCCGCAGTGGCAAAGCGCAAGTCCCTCTTTGATGATAAAGCAGTGGAGATTGAGGAGCTAACTTATATCATCAAACAGGTGAGCGAGTAGCTATCAAGAGGGCCCAGATTTCCAGCCAGATCACTCCCATCATTTTCCGTTGCCATGGAGGCCCAGAGCACGTTCCTGGAGTTAGCCCCAAACATCTTGTTCATCCATTGAGTCTCAAGATACTGTTTCATTATCTGCTGTGTACAAACACTGCGCTGGGCACTTGTCTCCCAAACATGAGACAAGATTCTGCCTTCAAGGGTTTATTGTCTAGAAGAGTATCCAGCCCCATAACATGAGTAGGAGATGAGTGTATAGAAAACATTTTACAAAAAGATGAATGAAAGGGGGGCATGTGTTATACCTTCGACAATAAAGATTTTAAAAAATGAATGAAATAGTCTGGAACACTGGAAAAGATTTTTTAGAGGAGTTCAAACCTGAGCTAGTTTTAAAGCTTGGATAGAGCCAGCGAAGAAAATTCCAGACAGAGAAAACGGAGTGCAGAGGTATGGCTTCTCGCAGGGAGGGTTCAGGCCTTGCTCCGATGTCACCTGCTCAGGAGGCCTACCTGACTGTGCTGTTTAATAAATCCAGCAACCAAAGCTCTGATCTCTCTTACCTCGCTCCGTTCTTTGTATTTATTTATTTAATAACTATAGTTTCGATGCACGAAATTCATGCAACAGCCGGCCTTCCTTCCCCCGGCTGCCGGCACCGGCTTCCCTCCGGCCACCAGCAGGCACTCGGACCCGGGCTTTCCTTGCAGCCCCAGTTTCGTCCGAAAGGAGACCTGGTCTAATTAGGATATTACACTTTTATTATTATAGATTACTTTTTTAATTGATTGATTTTAGTGAGGAAAGGGGAGAGAGAAAGAGAAATATTGATTTGTTCCATTCATTCATTGGTTGATTCTTGTATGTACCCTGTCCGGGGATCAAACCCGCAACCTTGGTCTGTCAGGGCGATGCTCTAACCAGCTGAGCTGCCCGGCCAGCGCTGTTTTCTTCCTTAAAGCACTTGAATCTGAAATTCCAGTGTTTTGTATAATTCGCTTGTTATGTTTATTGTTTTGTCTTTGTTCTCTCCCAACTACCTCATTTCCCCTCAAAAAAGGAAGGGCCCAGGAGCAGAGATGTTTTTCCTTTCTGCTTGTTCACAGATGAACCCCAAATGCCTGGGACAGGTCTGGCATTTGGTAGGGGCTCGGTACTTGCTGACTGACTGAGTCATTGGCAGGAGATGGATGAGGCTATAAAGGTAGATGGTGGCTGGCTGTGGAGCTCATTGTGGACCCTGTAAGGAGGATGGAACCACTCTGAATGCCGTGGGCTGCAGAGACCATTAGAACCTGGATCCCAGTTCTGCCTGAGAGACACTGGTCTAGCACAGGTCTCCACACTGCGACTCCTTCCTTTCCAGCACAGTGTAATAAGAATAAACTGTGAGGTTGAAGGACCTTGGGAGGAGGGGAGAAAACGCTGGCGCACAGCGGCAGGGAGGCTAGCAAGGACCCTGCGCAGTGCCTGCAGCCACCCGGGACAGAGGTGCTGCTGGCGGAGGCCGGAGGGCAGACACGTTCGGGTCAGGCTGTGCTGGGGGGGACTGGGGGTTCCGCTAACTGTCGGAGTGTTACTGCGTAGGCACTCAAGAACCACAACTGGATTCAGGCAGCCGAGTTCAAATCCCAGGTGCACCCCTTCCGACGTGACCCAAGTGCCTGCCTGTGCTGAGCTTCAGTCCCTTACAAATAACGAGGGGCTGATAACAGCACCCGCCTCAGGGTGGTGGTCAGGGTTCCCTTGTTTGTTTCCAGTCACTCACATTATTGAGTGCGTGTGGCTCCCTGGTTCTGGGGATTGGGCAGCCAACAAGGCAGATGTGTGGTCCTGTCTTCGGGAAATTCCTTTCTGAATGGGTAAAGTAGGCACTATACCGGTAGACAGAAAAGGCAATTTCAGGCAGTGATAAATTTTTCAATAAGAAATAATGTAAGCCCGGCCGGCGTGGCTCAGTGGTTGAGTGTCGACCTATGAACCAGGAGGTCACGGTTCAGCTCCTGGTCAGGGCACATGCCTGGGTCCCCAGTGGCAGGTGTACAAAAGGCAGCCTATCAGTGATTCT